CTCTCATAGACATTTGCTAATATTCTTTTAACAGCTCTACAGTATTGCACTGAGAAAGATGTTCACTCTCTGCTCCCATATAAGTACCGATTCTTACCTTCTCCTTTGTTGTTCTCTCTTTGTTGAATCACTGAGATTTCCTATTTGAATCAAAGAGAATAACACTAAATTAGGAGCCAAATGGTTTAGAATGTGTAGCTTTATCTGGCTCCACACTCTCTAGTTTCTGCCTATCAGATGATGATACCAATGATGGTTCACTCTCTATACTTGGACAACAACAACAACAACAACAAACCAAGATGTGTTCTTGTGAATTGTGTAACACCATTACTTGTGGTAGCTCAATTAAGCCAGTTTAAGAAATTATAAATATTCTCAGTTTAGGAATTAAAACAATACAAAAATATTATTTGGAAGATAGACAAACTAAGCTTTCAAGTCCCAATCCTCCAATCAGCCTCCCAAGTGCTGTGATTACAGGTACATGCCACTAAATGCCCAGGAAGTTTGGGAATGGTTCTCTCTCTAAAGTCTGTAAATCATCTTAGATGCCAGCTTTTGATTTTATAGGTGTAACAGGGTTGTAGTGAAGTTAGCAAAGTCAGTAAAAAACTGACTCCAGGATCTGGAGAGATGGCTCAGAGGTTAAGAGGTTAAGAGGTTGTTCCTCCAAAGGACCTGGGTTCAATTCCCAGCACCCACATGACAGCTCACCACTGTCTGTAATTCCAGTTCCAGGGGATCTGATGCCTTCTGTGTGCACCAGATAGAACATCAATGTAAATAAAAGTGAACAAATCATTTAGCAACATTAAAAATTGACTTCACTAATATGACAAAAATTGATAATGTATTTGAAGGCTAATCTGAACTCAAGAACATATCTGAATTTTCTATTAGTTATAATCATATTCTGAAAGTCCTGGATGTAACCTTTAGCCCTATGGCCCAGAGATGTCTTAGGATTGCTAATTAAAATGGCTTTCTAAAACATGTTTTCTATTCTTATTTTAGGCTAAGAGAAATTCTCTATCTTAAAATAGAACCAATACCAATATTTCTTTCTATTATGAAACATTTCTAAAATTATCATATGTAAAATAGGTTAAGGGTTTATATTCAACAGATATTATCAAACTAATTTTATACATGCATTTACATATGTATTATTATTATTGTTATTATTAAGAGATGGAGGTGGCATTATGTTGCCCTGGTTTGCCTCAAAGTTTTAGGCTCAAGTAATCCTCCTGCTTTAGCATCCTAGGTACCTGGATGAAAGGTGTATTTCACTGCCTGGCATACAGATAAATGTTCAATGAATAAAATAGGTACATTTTAAGTTCTATATATAATGATTTCTGATTTAAGTTTCTTCCCCCATTTTTATCTTCTTCAAAATATAAATACTATCTTAAATTTAATCTTATTGACATAACCTTTTGATTCATAAATGGGCACACAAACAATATGTAATATTGTTTCCCATGTTATACACTTGATCTTAGACAAAAGACTGAGAAGTGTTTTAATATGCATTTCAATTCAATATGTTTTGATCATAATACTATATATTTGATCCCCCAACTCCTCCTACAACTTTTCTACCTCCTGATGCTTTTCCATGAAAACTTTAAATGTTTTCATACATATGACTTGCATTACTAACCTTGTTTTTGAGAATATTTCATGTTTGTGCACATAGAACAATCATTTAAACTTCTGTATTGCTTTCTATTATGCAACCGTGCTATACTTTATTTATCAGCCCTGTCTCCTCAGCCTAAGTAGTTTTAAGAAGGGACAATTTGGATTCACTGCCTTAAATATTTTGCTTAAGCAGAATGGCACTGTTGCCAGGAATACATGTTTTCAGTTCCTTCATTCTTAGTGTGTATTCAGTTGTTTTATCCCTGGCTTAAAATTTTTGCTTTGCCCTCTGGGAAGATTATTAACATGACTCATTGTGATGGTTTGTATATGCTTAGCCCAGGGATCGGCACTATTAGGAGGTGTGACCTTGTTGGAGTAAGTGTGTAACTGTGGGCATGGGCTTTAAGAGCCTCATTCTAGCTGCCTAGAAGTATTCAGCTAGCAGTCTTCAGATGAAGATGGTGATAATACCCCTTCAGCTTCTTCAGTCTTTTCTCTAACTCCTCCACTGGGAAGGGATTTTTGGCCCCATGGGGAGAGCAACAATACCAACTAACCAGAGCTCCCAGGGTCTAAATCACCAGCCTGGAAGCACACAGGGAGGGACCCATGGCTCCAGCTGTATATGTAGGGGGTGATGGCCTTGTTGGGCATAGGTGGGAGAAGAAGTCCTTGGTCCCATGAAGGCTGGATGCCCCAGTGTGAAAGAATTTGAGGGTGGGGAGATGGGAGTGGATGGATGGGGGCACAACATCCTAGAAACAGGAAGAGGGGAGATGGGATAGGGAGTGTCTGGGGGGGATGGGGAAAGGGAATAACATCTGAAATGTAAATAAATAAAATAAAATAAGACGATGATAATAGGCTGAACTTCTCAACCTGTAAGACAGTCCTATTTAAGAGTTACCTTGGTCATGGTGTCTGCTCACAGCATTAAAACCCTAACTAAGACACTCATTAACAAGAAATTTCTTCTGAGAGCAATACCTGCTCTATGTTTGGGATCAGATAAATGTGAGCTAGGCATTGGTCAATAACCAGGTTACCTATTAAGGTTCTAACCATCATATTGAATATTTACATTTATATCTATAATGCAATGTCTGTGGGTTTCATGCATATTCATTGGCTGTATTTCAATTTTTTACTTTAAAAAGGACTATAGTATTGGCTCAGCAGTTGAGATTATTTGTTGTCCTTGAAAAGGACTTGGGTTTGGTTCTTAGCACCTATACTAGGTGGCTCATATCCAGTTCCAAGAGATCTGATGCTCTCTATTACCTCTGTGGAACATGCATGCAATATGGTGTACACATATATCTACATACTGAGATGCATATACACATGCAAAGTAGTAAAAACTATGGTTTAAAGTTATCAAAAAAGCTATAGCTAGTAAGAAATTACATTTGAGTTTTAGATTCAGTTAAATTTTTTTTAGTAGTTTAGGGTGTTTCTTTTTTAGTGTTTTAAAGAATGGGAGCTGTATGCATGGCAATGGTGGCACACACCTTTAATCCCAACACTCAAGAGGCAGAGGCAGGCAAATCTCTGAGTTCAAGGCCATCATGGTCTACAGAACGAGTTCCAGGACAGCCTGAGATACACAGAGAAACCCTGTCTGGAAAGCCAAGCAACCAAGCAAGCAAGCAAGCAAGCAAGCAAGCAAGCAAGCAAGCAAGCAAGCAAGCAACCAACCAACCAACCAACCAACCAAAATTAACTAAACAAAAAAGAATGGTGTATAATCAGCATTCCATCTAGTTAAAAATGAGACACTCAATGGATACAACCTATATACATATGAGAAACATTTATTGGACTTACTGTGTTATAATGAAAACAATAAATGAAGTTGGAAGAAAGATGGGAAATATGTCAAAGTGGTTGGGGGAGCTAAAGGGAGGAAGTAGGAGATAGATATGACCAGCGTACATTACATATGTATATATTCATACCTGTATGAAATTTTCAATAAAAAATTAAAAATCCACATTTGCACATAGTGTTCATTTTTCTGAAGTCCAGGCTCCCTGTAGCTTTCTTAACACTGAACAGTAGGTGTTCATTAGAAGGGCAAGGTATAAGTCAAAGGGTTGAAAGAGCAGAATGTTAAGGGTTTGGGAAGACAAATATGACATACTTTCTCTTATTTGTGGGAAGGAAAAATATAGCAGAAGTGGGAGATAACATGGAATAGGAAAAGGACCAGTAGGAATAGGAGAGAAATAAGTGTAGATAGATAATAGGGTAAGAAAATATGATCAAAATACTTTATATACATGTAAGATAATGCCAGTGAATCCTACTCTTCTGTGCAATTATTATAGCCAAATAAAAACAGTGAGCACTCTTAGAAAGGGATTTACTCTTGGTTGTTCACTTACTCACATAGGTTTTTCTTATTAATGGTGGTTACATATCTATTTCACTTTTTAATTTATTATGCCAAGAAGAGATTTTAGAAGCAATGCTTTCAAGATCACTGCAAATTATTGCTTTTACCATAATACAAACATATTGCTTTTACCATAATACAAACATCAATATAATACATAGGTGAAGTAATGCTAATTTTGGATGGCATACAGCAGAACTGAAACTGTTATTCTTGTTCCAGGAAAAACAAAACAAAACTAACCAATAGCCCATTATCTTAGTATATGGAATTGTTGTGACTCCTCATTTCCCTTTAGTCCCATGCAGTCTATAATCTGTGATTTGCCTCTGTAATTTTGCTTTTTGGTAAAAAGATCCTTTCTTAGTGTTAATAGATAAATCTTGTTAATAATTAAATTATTTTGGTAACTCTATTGCACTTAGGGTGGAAAATAAGTTTGTGAATTAATTCAATTTTCCCATTTATAAACAAATGCCAATTACAGTAAATTGGATTTTAACTTTTGACTAAATTGTCATCTATAAGCTAAATGAGGTTTCAGCTGAATACTCTGAATGTGATTAGAAGAATTTTATGCGACATATAAATTTAGAAAGGATCAAGAACATGTAAGCCAAGAAATTTCAGATCTAAGATATGTTTGGCAAAGTTCAAAGTGGATTTTCCAATTATAAAGTAAATTGAACACATAGTAAATAACCGAAGCTTTTCTTGTTTTCTTCCCTGTGATCCAGAAATGACCATATTGATTTTTGAGCTTTTTATGTTAAAAGAAAATCAGTGAGATTAAATTTCATGGCTTTGTGATTCCTGAGTTATGGCTGAGTGATGTTGTAAGGGCTGTAGCTTCTTTTCTGGAAGCTCTTTGGTGGGCTGAAGTCTATTTTAAAAACCATCTCTTATCTGCATTTAGAACAATAATGATGTGATTTGTTTTATGCAGATCAAATTTTCAGAATCGGACTACTTTGGCAACGTGCTGCAAACCCGCAAGTATTTAGCACAGTCTGATTTCTTCTGGCTAAGAAAAGCTGTTCCCAAAACAGAGTGAGTATTTTTAAAAAGTGAAATAGATAAATACATTGGTGGGAAGTGGAATCACTTTAGATTAAACTTTGTAATTCTCCTCAACCCAAGGTAGCTAGCTTGCCAGTTATTTTGTTTTATAGAAATTTGTGCCATGGATTGCCAGCTATCTTTTCTGATATTATGTGATGCAGATCTTCCATCTATCACAGAGCTCCAAATCTTAGCATCAACATGTATTAGAAAGAGTTCTCATTAGGATGCAAGTGTTGAAGATATTTCTAGCTGTAGTTATAAATACATATACAGATAATATTGCTATATAAATTTCTCTACATTTTCATACTCAGGTAGAAATATTTGAAGTTGTTAAAGAATGAATACTTTAGCACCTAGTGTGAATAAATATGTATACGAATTTATGTAATTAAGAAGCAAATAAAACAAAAATAGAAATGATATGATCTAAAGAAGATTTTTCTCAACCTGTATATCATGGCCCCTTTAGGGGGTGTCAAATTACCTTTTCACCGGGACTACATATCAGTTATCTTGCACATGATTCAGTTGTGAAGTAGCAATGAAATAATTTTATGGTTTGGGGTTACCACATCACGAGGAGCTGTAGTTAAGGGTTGCAACATTAGGAAGGTTGAGAACCACTGAACTATAAGATACTGAGGTAGTCCATGTCAAACAACTGAAAGCTGTGTCATTTTGAACCAGTAGTAGTTATGGTTTATTTATCTTTTTCTTATCTGCTTTTGGAAATTTTCCTACAAATAGGAAAATATCCTTAAAAACTTTAAAGCCCATGTCCATTTAGTCACTCTTGGTGTTGATCTTAGTGGTTGTTGATGATGTTAGCAGCTAAAATTATTGTTTATTTACAATATGTGGTGCATTTCAATTTATGTGTGTCTTTGTATGTCATCCATATGTATGTGTTTCTGGGTGGTGGTGTCTGTGACTGACTGCACATTCTCAAGGTGGCCAGAGGAGGACATCAAATACTTTCCTTTACCATTACCAAACTTACTTTTGGGACATGTCTTTCATTCAACTTGCTATTAATGGTTTTTTTTTTCAGTTAGGCTGACTAGTTAGTAAACTTCTTGGATCCATCTGTCTCTTCCTCCTCAGTGGTGGATTGCTGGCATGTATAGTCATGCCTGGCTTTCATGTAGGTGCTAGGGACCTGAATTCAGGTCCTCCATCTTTAATAGCAAGTGTTCTCTTCCATTTACCACCTACCTAGTCTGTGCTTTGCAATTCTTATGGATTTCCTCATAATGTCTATTCTGGGAGATGTACGTACTATATCCCCATTTTACAAAGCTTTTGCTATGGCTCACTTTTTCAATGGTTTAAAAATCTTCTTTAGATCAGATCATTTCTATTTTTGTGCTTTCAACTACAGCATTTCTTTTATAAAATAGTTCCTATTTTATTTGTAGTCATCGTTATCATATTATGGCTAATTCTTTGAATATAGCTTAATTCTTTGAACTATAATATAATGGCCACTTTCAAATCTTCCCCAAATCTATTATCTGGATTAACTTAAAGTAATTTTCAATTGATTCATCCTCTTTCCCTTTTTCTTTTTGTAGCATAATTTTTGTTGTTGAAAATGACATTTTAGATAATATAGTGTAGCAAGTCCAGATGCTACTTTACTTTTCTGAGATCTTTTCTGGATTTACACTGCAAAATCTGTCTTTCCAGAAGTAAGTGGCTGTGGATTCCTGTGTCCAATTTCAGTCCTTTATTTTATATTTTAGGTTACTTCCTGGTGATTATTTCATGTATGCAAGTTCAACCAAGAGTTAGGACAGACCTAGTGCTCCAACATTTGAGCTTGAGTGCTTTGAAAGTCAGACACTTATCTGGCTCCCTTGGCTTTTATATCCAATGGGCTTTTTGTGCTCTCCCTTGTACTGGACATACTACTGCATTCAACCATGGGTGTGTGGAATACTTATTTATTATTGTGCCCTTTTCAGTTTCAGGTTCTCCCTTTGAAATTTTTGACAGGCTTTTCCTTATTTGTTTTCTATCATTGGGTTTGTTATATTTTAGCTAAGAAAGATGCATTTTCAGCTAATTCTTTTTTGAAGAAAGTTAAGTTTTCTATTGTACTGGGATGGACAGGAGCAATCCCAGCAAGATGTTCACCAAATTATGCTCGATTTATTCCCCAATTCCAGCAGGTTATTGCTCACTTTTGGCCAGTTGCCAGAGACCTAAAATACATGCTTGTTGACCATTTTGCCCAGGTTTATGCTTGATTCTTGTGGAAAGGAATTGTCAGCTATGTCATACTATCATCTCCCAAAAGCTGATTTGATGGACCAGCTTTTAAAAATTAGCTAATATTCTCATTTCTGTGACTTTGGTGGGCTGTTTATATGCTATCTTGGGCTCTTTCTCAAAATCCTTTTCAACACCCCACTTTCTTCTGGATTCTAGAAACACTAGACCCTTGTGTCTCCTTTTCCCTTAAACTATGAATATCATCACCATTCCTCTTTGATGCTCTTATGCGCACAGTCTTGACTCTATCAAACTTCTATGGAGCACATAGGTACAATTGTTTTTGTAAGTTATTAGCTTTAAGGAACAGAGGATCAAAGATTAACCAATCTTCTGTGTATCCCTGATTTTACTAAAAAAGTAAGTACAAATGAAAAAGAAACAGATGGTTTTACAACTCCTTGCTAATGACAGAAAATAATCTATAGCCATCTGCTCCACTGTCCTTGCATCCCTGCTCTTATCATGTTATTTCTCAGCCTGTCTATTCCATTCCATTCGCAGTCTAAATTATTCATAGGCAGTCTAGATTTAGGACTGTAAAATCTGATGACTCAAAGCAGATGACTTCAGCAAAGGATTTTCAATATCTCTGTGATCATGTTCATGTAGTAGGATAGTCATAGACCTATGTAAGTCATCCCGCCCCTTTAAATCATATTCATAACAGTTCAAACTTTAAAAAAAATTGTCTTTTATATTTTGAAATTGTAATGTAATTACATTTTCCATTCGAAGTCCTCCCATATACCCTTCATTTCTGTCCTTAAAATTCGTATAGTCTCTTTTTCATTGTTGTCACAAACACATGAATATACGTATACTTCTAAACATAATCTGTTCAGTCTATAGGTTACTTATATGTATGTTTTCAGGGCTTACCATTTGGTATTGGATAACCAACTAGTACGCTCTACCCTGGAAAAGGCTATTTCTGCCAGTATTAGCATTCCTTAGTTGCCTATAATATTTGTGTAGGATTGAGGCCTTTATGGTCTTTCCATATTGGCATGCTTGTTGTCCTCATTCGAGTCATGATTAAGGAGTCATGTTGGTGAGACTTTAGCTTCTGATAAACTAGGAAGCACAGTCTCACAGCAAACTCTGATCCTCAGGCTCTCATAATCTTTCTGCCCTCTCTTCTGCCATATTCCCTGAGCCTCAGGTGAAGGAAGTGTTTCATAGATGTATCCATTGTGATTGGGGTCCATAACTCTGCATTTTGACTGGTTGTGATTTTCTGTAATGCTCTCCTTCATTTGCAAAGAGAAGTTTCCTTAATGAGGCTACACTTATTTTGATGAATGATGGCAATTGATTCTGATATTTCTCTGTTCATTTTTCTTCAGCTGACCTGCTTACTAGAGAAAGTGGAATATTGAAATCACCTACTATTAATGGATTAATGTTAATATGTTTCTTTAATTCCAGTAGTAGATACTTTTAAATGAAATTGGGTGCCCCTGAGCTTGGTATATATATATTTAGGATAGTAATGTTTTCTTGGTTAACTGCTGTTCCTTTAGTTAGAATGAGCTGTTCATTTTTATATCCTCTGATTAGTTTTTGTTTGAAGTCTTTTTTTGCTTCTTGGTTCCAGTTGATTGTTTTTTTTTTTTTTTAATCCACCCTTTTACTTGAAGGCAGTGACTGTCTTTAAAGCTAAGATGTGTTTCTTGTAGACAGCAGATAGACAGATTTTGTTTCTTTATTCAGTCAGTCTCTGTCTTTTAATTGTAATACTAAGGCCATTGTTATTTTAAGTTATTTATTAAAATATTTGTGTTAATTGCAGTCATCATGCTGTTGAGGTTCTTTGTGTTCTCAGTGGAACTTTGTTTTTTAACAATTGTAGTTCTTTATTTCTTTCCACAGTATCTTTGCTGTGCATAGTTCTCTCTTCAGCTTAAAATACTATTTTCTGTATTTTTTTTCAGGTTTGGTTTATTGGATATAATTTTAAGGCTGTTATATCTTGGAATATTTTTTCTCTCTCCTTCAATTATGGTGGATAGTTTTGCTGGGCGTATTAGCCTAGGCTGCTGCCATCATCTTTTAGGACTTGAGATGCATGTCTACATGCTCTTCTGGCTTTCCATTGAAAAATCAACTGCTATTTTGCTTCCTTCATATGTGAACTTTTTCTCTCACAGCTTTGTTTTGTTTTGTATATTTAGTGTTTTAACTTTGCTATGCCATGTATGTTTTCTTTTCAGATCTTCTCTATTTGTGTTCTATGTGTTTCTTATAGCTGCATGGATATGTCTTTCCTCAGACTACAGAAATTTTCTTCTGTGATTTTGTTCAAGTCTGTTCTATGCCACTGACTTGGGAATCTTCATTCTTACCTATGTCTATATGCATGTTCCCTTTTTGTGTTTAAGAAATATTTTTCACATTCTTTGCTTATTTGGTCTAGATATTCTACTGTATCTTCAAGTCCTGCTATTCCATATTCCATTTATTCTATTTGTAAGGCTTCCCATCTAGTTTCTTAGATGTATTACTACTGAGTTTTTCAATTCCATCATCATTTCATTTTGATTCCTCTTCAGTGTTCCCATTTTCTTATTGTCTCAAGTTCTAGATTCTCTTCATCATTTTTATCAGTTTGTGTTTTCTTGGGCATCACTCAGGTGTTTATTCTATTTATTTTTTTCTACCTAATTACTTTGAGCTGTTTCTTTATGCTTTCTTTCAGTTCC